CAGCAGGAGAAGCATGCAGAGCAATCTGCCCACAGCCCCCTGCATCCCTTCTAGACTTAAGGCTCAGATACACAGCATGTTTACACCAGTGTAACCAGCCTTTCCACCACTGTAAAGGAGCCGACATAAGACATTCAACTCTATACCTGTGTAACTTACTTGAACTCCACGTGGAATTACCCCAGGGAAAAATCCAGGGAAAAAACTGCACTGATTTAAATTATGCTAGTGCAGATGCTGTATGCCAGCAGCTTATCCTGGGGAAGCTGTATACTAAAAGCAAAGAAGCTACTGCTCATTCTCTGCCACCTAGTGGCAAGGCAATGTAACAGTGCCTACTGCAGCAGCTGCCCCAGGACAACCACTTGTCTGTTCACTTTGGACCCTGGTATGGTTCTCTCTGAGTGTACAAAACCTATGTAAGTTACACCAGTGTAAATGTATCCAAGCCCCTTGTGTCTGTAAGGCAAGCCAGAGAGGGTAAAAGATCAAGCTCACCTCAAGGTACTCATCTAGGCCCAGATGAGTGAATTCATACTGTAGGAAGACTCGGAAGTTCATGTTCTCCACTGAGTGCACTACAATATTGATAAACTGCATGCAGGCCACCTGTAAGGGCAGGCAGAGGTTCAGGGCTAAGGCAAGCAGCAGACTGACAGAACTGGGGACAACATAACAATCAGGGGCCACTCAGAGCAGCAACCTCCCACCTTACTGAATGCTTGGGCACACAACATAATAAGGATCATTTAACATATCACAGGAAGTGGCAGAGCTGGGAACAGAATCCCAGGTACCAGCCACTCATATGTCTGTTTCTTAATGCAGCTGTTCTGAACCCAGGGACATAAGGAAGACCCTGGGCAAACCAAGCTGCTGGACACAGGAAGCTCTGAGCCTCAGAACACCATGCTAGCAGTTCTCAAGGCATTTGGAAAGGCCCATTGTCAGCTCAGAGAGATCACCCTCCCCCACAAACCTGAAGGATCTTAATTTGTCATATGGGCCTGACTACCCTCTCATAGCTGGTACCCTATAGAAGGTAAAAGCCTTCTTACTACTGGCTTCAAAAGGGATTCTCTTTTGGTTCAAGTGGCAGAAGCTGCAGGCCACAGCCTCTTTTCCCTATGCCACATACATGTGAGTTAGTGGACTGCTACAAAGCTGGTATGGGAATACAAAGCCTGTATTCCCCTGGATATGGAACATGCCCGTATTCACTGATTTGGAGAAAGGGAACTGTTAGCAGCCCTGTCCTGCAGTAAGCGTATGGAAAACCAGCTAAGTATTCTAATCACATAAGGCCTCCAGATGCCGAGAGGCAGTGCGCAGCATGGGTGTGGGCTGACTGCTCCCCACATATGGCTTTCCCCTCCCAAAACACTCACCATGAAGTCAATGTTACTGTCCTCATTCCGGAAATACTCCATCAGCTTCTCAAAGCGATTCTTCTCCCCACAGACCTACAGGCAAGAGCAGAGACTATCAGCATGAGTGACCCTGAAGTCCTAGAGAAGGTGCCCATTGGCACCAAGCAAGGGAACTGGTTCCTAAACACTGCCATGAAGCTGCTGAAAGGAGCAGCTATACCTAAAGCTGCTCCCAGCACTCCCAGCTTCTCCACCACTCAGTCTTGGACCAGAGTCCCCTGAAGCTGCACCTCCACTATGTTCCCATAGACCTGAGCCTCCCACAGAGTAAGGTAACAAGCACCACAGTGCAGAGAGGCCTGGTCTGTGCCTGGGACACTAGCCATGACCACAACACAGGCGGCCAATAACAATCCACTCCCTTCCCTACCCCAAAAGATGCTGCAGCTGCTACACAAGGACTCTGATGCCCCAACATGGTTCGGGTGCTGGGTCCCATCTCCATCTTCAGTACTAGATTCTTTGCCTTGCATTGGGAGCCCACAGGGCCAAGTGGGAGAGTTCTAGCTCTTGCAGTGCCTACCCTGGCACTGGACTGAGCTTTTGGGTCTATCACAGCATGGTGCTAACATGCCTGTGCCATCCTACCCACGTATTGTGCTGGGCCACTTGTTATGGTGGAACCTGAGTCCTGCCAGCCTAGCCTAGCCAGAGCAGAAAGGGGAAGAGAGGGAATCCGAGTGACATACCCTTCACGCTGTTCTCCTACCTGCCTATCATTTCCCTAGCAGGAGCCCCTGCCATGTGGATTTGTGGGGGCTGTGGATCCCTATGGCCCATCTCCCAGTGCCCCTGGGGCTCAAAGAATAGTCAATGCATTAATTTGCAGTCTCCCATAGTACAGCACCCTTCCCTGGAGGACATTAAGCCTGGAAGCTTCATGCCTCTGGGAGGATAGCAGGATTCGTGCTGGAAGGGACTTGGCCAACATCCTGCAGCATGTTAGCAGCAGGACCAGGAACAGCTGCCTGGTATCCTGACCCTGAGAACAGCCACAATGGGGATTTGGTCCAATGATGGGGACAGTGCAGGTGGCTGTTGAAATGGATGTGCTCACGACCTGAAACCTGAGAGTTGCTCACAGCCGAAGGGTTCCTCCCCATGCTGCTGCTGCCCTTGCTCTGGGAGACCCTGTCATGGTGCACATTGGCACAGCTCCAGCTGAGGGATCAGGTATGCTCCCCTCCATGAAGTGCTCTGGTGTCAGCTTGTGCTTCCCTCTCCCCATCTCCCCCTGCCAGCTGCAGCCCCAGCTCCCTGCTGCTATGCAGGGGAATTCAATCCAGCTTTCCATGTCATGCAACCTGCCCCTTTGTTTAACCTCACCATGCAGGGCTACAGGGACAATAGGGGGATGGCTAGGAGCTGCTCCCTGAAAGATGATGCCAGCTTCTCCTGGGAGCCCTGCCGCTGACCACATGGCATACAACAGTCAGCCAGCACCCCTGTGCCTCACATGAGGGAACTCAGCAGATCAGTTCTGGGACAGTAACAGCAGGAGAAGGAGTGGCCAGGGGCAACCGCAGGACTCATGCCCAGGTCAGAAGCAGCAGGAAGCCTTGGCAGATGGGCACACAGGACAGGACGGCAGTGCACTGACTGGGCTGTGCAGCCTAAAACACCTTCCCTTCCCCCCCCTCCAGAAGCTCAGGACACCTTCAGAGGCCCCAAACCCATGAAGCCTTCCTCCAGCACACATAATCCAGCTCTGGGGTTGGGCTGCATGTGGACAGCAGAGCTCTCTCAGGTGCTGTGGGCCTCCCTCCTCCTCCAATAGGTATTTTCCGCCAGCTGCCGTGCCCAGCCCCAGCTTGTGCTGTGTTAGCAGATTTCATGAGTCATCCTAATGTGAGGCAGGCATCCGAGCAATGTTCAAGCCAGCCAGAACTTCACAGCTGGCAGCCCCGTGTTCAGCGAGAAAGATGTATTTATAGCCTGGCACAGAAGATAGATTGCCCTCCTCCATCCTTCTCCTGCAGGGGTGCATCTGTGACATTTTAATTAAAGGGATATCATCCCTCAGTTCAGAGCTGAGAGGTCAAGGTGTGTGGAGGGATTTTGTTGGCCTCAGTGAGGGCAGTAATGCCTCAAGCCACTGCTTTCAGATTTTGAGTGCAGCACCCTAAGGGCATTCTCCCAATGAGAGGGTAACTTTGGCAGTGTCTGGATGGAGGTAAGAGTTCCTGAGTCACATGAAAAGGGACGCGTGTATGGACTTTAGTATGGTCTCGATGAAAGCCAATGGGACTGTGCTCCAAAACACTCCTAGGCACATTGCAAAATCTTTCCCAGCTGTGGAGAAGCAGGATCTGGGGCAGGCAGCCAGGTTACACCTGTGTCTGTGCAAGGACAGTGTGCGGGGGCTTCCCAGGCTGGAGCCTGAGGGTGAGAGCAGGGACTGAGAAGCCGAACACCTGAATTCCACCCCTGGATCTACCCTGACTCATTGCAGAGCCTTAGGCACATCTTTCCTCTCTCTGTGCCTCAGTTTCCCCACCTGTGGTAGAGAGATAGTAACCATGACCTCTTTCCATGAGGGTTGGCACATTAGCATCCAGATAGCACTCTGTAATCTGTGCCCAGAAGAGGACTCAGCTTGTTTCTCACTGCTAAGGACATAAGTGGAGAGGAAAAGCTACTGCACAGAACCCCTCCAGAGGACACTGGGTCCATGCCAAGGCAGCAACTAACACATCATGTAACAACCCAGGGCCATCAGCCATAGTCTGGGGTAGGAAGCCAAATAAGTTACAGTCAAGCTCTGAGCAGTCTCCTCAAACTGTCACCATGCAGAACACTGTACCCATGGGCAGCTGCCACCCCTGAGGACAAGGTAGAAAGACCTGCAGGGTGCCACTGACCTGGGGTAGGCTTCTTGCCTTTCCAAAAGCAGTAGAGTCATGCCCCACCTCTACCCTTTGCGGCCTTGTTCTTTCCTCTATGGTCACATCAACTCCACCAGGGGAAGGCATAGTTGGGAGCACGGTAAAATATACAAAGGATGTAAGCATCATTGGCAGCGTACACTGCACTGGGCAGTTGTCATGTCTGCTGGGTCCGAGAAAATGACCTCTCTGCAGGGTGCTGCACATCTTTGTAGGGGCAACCAGGACGGAGGAAAGATGGGCGAGTGGTTGTGACTGGGTTTTGTTGGTGTGTGTGGCTGCCTGAGGCAGAGCAGTGTGGGCATGTGGGTGGGTATGTGCAGTGTTCCTGATACACCACTGCAAATGCAGGCCTAGAACATGAGGGCAAGGCAGGAGTGCCTCAGAGCTGGTACACGGCTCACCAGGCTTCACCCCAGCCAGAGCATCACCCCACCAAAGTGTTTCCCCTGAGCTGCCCATGCACAGAGAGCCATAGCAGTCCCCATTACCACAGATGGACTGGTGTGCTTCTCTGAATGGGTGTGAACAGAGTGCCAGCCAGGGGCTATGGGAGGGGGGTGGAGCGAGACACGATTCAACCCTTTCCTTGTCACGTACACACAGCACTGATTGGAAAAGAACCAGGGTCTCAAAGTGGTGACACTCAGTCACCACCTCTCTTTGACAGCTGGGGAAACCGAGGCACGGGGAGGTGAAAGAATTTGCCCAGGGCTGCACTGAGAACCAGTGTCAGGGCTTGGCATAATGGAGGTAGAAACTCTTTGTTCCTATCACTAGACCAACCCCATCCCTCTCACATTGTCACATCCCCAGCCTGTGGGCTCCCGGAGCCTACTACCCTCCAGAGGTGGGCCCTCCCTGGGCTTGGGCACCAGTCCCTAGGGACCTACCTCCTTGAAATTGTCAAATGCAGCAAGGATGATGTCATGCCCCCCTCGGACCAGGCATACAGCAGCCAGCAGCTCCAGGACAAGTGCTTTGGTTCTGTGGGGAAGGCACAGGGTCTGAGCAGAGCCTCCCCCTCAAACAGTGAGGGCAGTAGGGTGGGAGGGGGGGTGGAGAAGGGACAGGAACAGTGGGGGCACATACCTGGGATTCTTATTATTCAGGCTCAAGGTGATCTCGTTGACACAGGCTGGATGGTTCATTACCAGGCTGAATCCAGACTAGGAGGAGAAGGCAGCTTTAGCAGGGCGTAAGGGCAGAAATGACTGTTGGGTCCGGTCCCAGCCCTCACTTGTGTAGAGACTACATGGAGGGGCCTGGATTGGTGGGGATCCCATGGAAGCAAGGCCCATGCTGGCTAGTACTCAGCAAGCTCCATGCCCACTGCCCATCCCTTCACCACCCCTCTCCCCAACCTAAGCCATGACGAGACCCAGAAGCAATCCCCATGAGGACACAGGCAAGGGGAGGACCCCCAATGAGGAGTGGGTGCCTTGTGTCACTGTAGCTTGCAGAACCCTGTGCCAAGCTGAAAAGAGACATGTCTCCAGGCCCAGAGCTATGTGCAGTCCTGGCCTCCAGCCAGGATACAAGCTGAGGTATGAAGAGCTGGAGCAGCTAGGGGATGAGGCACAACAGAACAGGACGGAGGAAGGGTGATACTAGTGAAAGGGGTGAGAGGAGCAATGGGAAGGTGGCCAGCCAGTCTTAAGACAGCCCAGGCTTCAGGCCCCTGCCCTGTAGAAACAGCCCTCTCACCAGCACAACCTCCACTCACTCCACAAGATGCAGAAAATGGGTAAGAGCAAAAGCTCCCTAGCACCTTCCACTCCCCGCAGAACTACCCACATGGAACCCCCGAGTCTAAATGGAAGGATGGCTGTGCTGCCCGGCCTGTGCTGGCTGACACAGGGTCTCTATTGAGGAAGGCTGGAGGGGAGACTCATGCTAATATAGCAGGGCGATTTCTAAGAGACAATCCTGGAGGAGTAGCACTCACTAATCACTGGACCTGGAAGAGCCTTCCCTGGGCCAGTTTCTGGCTAAACTGCCCCGAGTCACCCCTAGGCCAACTCAGGGAGGAGAGAGGAACTCCCTATCCCAGGCGTAGTGGAATTCAATCTGCTGTCCTACATAGACCCAGGGGCCTGCTGGAACCAGCCAAGACTCTGGACAACCTCTAAGACCATCCAGAGCCCCTCAATTCCTCCGCACTGTCTGGTGAAACCAAAGAAACTGTGGGCCTTGCCAAGCAGCTTGAAGCATGTACCCAGCCTAGCTCTCTCCAGTGGAGTCGCCAAGTCCCTCTGAAGGGAAGGGGTTCTCCTGGGTAATACTCCAGCCCTGACAGACAATGTTGGCTCCATGCCTTGTCCCCACCTGGTAGTTCATGATGGCGCGCAGGCACATGATGCAGACATGGACGTCGTCCTTCTGGCTGACGATGCGCGAGTTCCGCAGTGCTTTCCTGCTATGCGTTGGGTTGAGTCTGAAGCAAAGAAAAACAGCGAGTGATGCCAAGGCAGGACCCGGCTGCTGCAGCATGCTCAGAGCAAGCATTGGCAAGGGAAGTGAGGGGCGGCTGGCTCAGGTGCGGGGAAGCTGGGACAGAACCTTCCACCTCTAGGCCACTGGCTTACATCCAGGCTGGGGCAGTTTCCCACAGATCAGTGCACAGGCTGTCTTGGCAGAGAGGCCAATGATGGAAAGGGCCATCAGAGGCTGCGCTCTGCTTCCAGCCTACAGAGGAGGCCCTCCAGGTCAGGCTGGAGGGAGCTGCTGTGCCTGCTCTGGGGAGCTAGGAGAAGACCCCAGTCTCCAGGGCTGTTAATCTGGTGCCTTTCACTTGCACTAAGGCCACTAAAAAACACTGATGGGCTGGGATGGTTCACCGGCATCAAGGCTGGATGGAGAGTCCAGCTTAGTCTGCCCCTAGCACGCTGGCAACATCTGGGGGCTGAAGGGAGGCTCACCGGGGTGGATGGGAGTTCATGGGTGGCCTGGGTTTACTGTCCTGATCGCTCCAAGGGGTGCTGGAGGGAACACATGGGTGGACTTGTTGAAAGAATGAGTGGATCTGCTGGTTCAAGAGGCAGCAGCTGAAGGAGGATTACAGCCTGCAGGACAGGAGGGAGAAAGAGGACTTGATGCAGATGCTCCCCCCTCGGTGAAAGATGGAAGAAGTGGAACTGAGAGGGCTTTGTGGCAAGCTGAGTTTGTGTACAGCTAGCCAGGAAGTTGTAGGGCGGAGTGGGACAAGGCAGCAATGTCACTGCACTCTTCTGAAATGGCCTGTGGCTCTTCTGTATTTAAAAAAAAAAAAAAAGAGCGCAACACTTACGAAGAGTCCATGGCCTCCTAACACTCACTGCAGTGACAGCTGCCCTCCTACCCCAGACACCTCAGAGCAGGCACTGCCCATTGATGACCTTACAAGCACTTCAAGGCCACAGGCCTCAGGGCACAGCTAGCACCACAGGCACTGTGTGGTCCCTGTACAACAGGCACTAGAAGTAACAACAGAAAGAACCATCCCTCTCAAAGAGGCTGCATTTGTTCTTAAATGGTGTTCCTACTCTCCACTGCCACAGGGCTGGTGGGCTCCAAGCTTCTCCTGTCTGGTTTCCAGATCCAACATGCTGTGGTTACTACAAAATGATTTTTCATAGGTTTGAGGCCAACAAGGACCACAGCAATCACCTAATCCAACCTCCTGTGTAACACAGGCCAGAGGGTTTTCCTGAATTAAGCCCCTTTAAACTGGAACAAGTCTTCTAGGAAAACATCCAATCTCAATTTAAAAGCAGCCTGGAACACAAAATCCACTGCAGCCTGTAGGGAGCTGTTTTCAAGGAATTTCCCAGCCTTGCAAATGCATTGTGGGAGGGGAGTGGGAAAGCCACTGCAGACTCTTTCCTTTTCATGCATCCCTACCAGCTCTATATGTTCTGCAGGTCAAACCAAGCCCCTGCTGCCACCTGCGCCAGAGGTCATCAAGAGGAGCTTGGTCAATGGTTATACAGATGTACAAAGAGTGTCTCTCCTCAAGGGCAGGGCTCCAGATCCTTCTGTCATGGCAGGGCTGGCTGGGCAGAGCTGCCTGGAGTAAAGGCTCTTCTTGCTGAGCCAGAAGGCCTGACCTGGGGCACAGACAAGGAGTGGAGGAGCCAGGGATAAAAGGGTCATTCTTAGAGAGTGAGGCAACACCCATGGGTGACCTTAAATTCAACTAGTAACAGAGCTAAGGAGTGAGGCCATAAGCTATCCTACCAATGGGAACACTGGAGCAGGCAGCTGAGGCAAGTGTTCACCATCCCAGAGACCAAGCCCTGGCTACCTACCATGAGGCGCATCCCATAAGCAGCGTGAAAAAAAAGATTGTGGTTAGAACATGGGAATGGGACATGGGGAGCACATTGGGGAGCATGCAGTGAGCAGGGGCTGAACTCAAACCACCTTCCAATAAAACCATCTTAATGAGCCAGGTCGAGCCTTGGGGTGGGTGGGTTGAACTCCGCAGAGGCCATCTTGAAAATGTCATCCATTCCCTGTTCTGCCATAGACTCTGTAGTAAGACTTGGGCAAGATACTTAGTCTTTCTGTTTCTCAGTTTCCTCATTTTTTAAATGGAGATAACAACAGTACCCTAATTAATGGTGGGAAGGAAGGAAGGCTCCACAGATCAGCACCTTGGTAACTGGGGCCAGATAAGGACTAAAGACAAATTATCAAAACAGAATGTAGGGTACATGCTCTAGAGTCTTCTGCATTAGAGGCTCCTTCCATTACACATGCTATTAGTTCATTAATAATGTTTCTCTGGGCTGATAAGCTCCTGGGTTAATTGTTCAGGGGGAAGCTGTTGTTAAGCTAAGAAGAACCTCCTCAGACTACAGCTCCATCATCCCAGCCACACCACCAGGCTCACATGGGCATTGGTGTTCACAGCCCAGGGCCTGCTTTCTCACCAGTTATGGGAGAGGACATTTATTTCTTTTTTGAATTCTGAAAAAAATTAAACCAGCTCTGTTATTGAACCCTTTCCTGTCACTCACTAAGCCTTTAGCCTCGGTAATATCCTGCTGCATGGAGTTCCACTGGTTAAACATGTGTCAAGGTTGGGAGAGGGAATATCAGGACCTTCTCAGGACAGACAGCATGAGTGCCCCTCAGCCCAGTGGCCCCAGCCAATATAGACGCCAGCCAGGCTGCTCACCAGCCTCCCAGCAACTGAACCTTGGTGGAGGGCAAAAAGGGCTTCAGAGCAGTGGTGCCAACTGGCATATGCACAAAGCACAACTCACTTGTACCAGGGGCTAAGGTGAGGGAGTAGTGTTGGAGTCCAGTTTAATTCACAGCAATATTTCTCTTGGGGGAGATGAATGCCTCCCTTCCACCTGGCAGAGGGGATGCCTCGCAGCCTGTGTACTGGGCCAGCTGCCCCAAGCTGGACTCCCACATCTACCTGCCAGATGCGCTTGCCATGCTCACTCAGTATCTCGGCTCCCACCAAGCCTGGGGGCACATGAGCATTGCTTAGTGCAGGAGTGGGGAGGGAGCCATAAGACTGCAAGCGGGGGGTGCCCCAGGCGGGCTGTGTGTGTTACCTGACCGTCAGGTGTCTCGCTTTGGAGGAGCCCTGCGTGGGGGACGAGGAGTTGCTCTTGGTGAGGTCCTCTACAGATCTGTCCAGGGGCTTCCCTTTGTCAGAGCCCGGGCTCCCGTTATCTGTGCTCTCCATATCATACCTGGAGGCACATGTGTGAAAACAGACTTATGAGTGAGCAGAACAGCCCAGGTTGGTAGGGCAGGGGTGGGGGTGGGATCCCAGCCAGTGGCAGGGAAAGGATGGATGAGCTGAGTGCAGCATCCTCCATGCAGCCACAGTATGAGCCCTCAGAGACCCCAGAGTAGAGCAGGAGCAGACCACCTGGCCCAGCTCTGCTCCCACTCCTCCAGGAAAGCAGAGGCAGGTGCTTTCTCCCCCACAAATCCCCTAGGAGTCTGATGCTGCCTCTTGCCTTATTAGAGGCCCCCAAGCCTGCAGCCTTCTGCTCCTTGTCATTACCAAGGGCCGAGCTGGCACAAGTGGTTATGCTGCTTGGCAAACAAATTGCCCATGCCACCCATCAGCAGGCTCAATCTGATTATTCTTATCCTCCAGCAAATACATGCTGGGGTATAGATCTCCCCATCAGCCCCAGACTGATTGATAGCAGAACAGCAGCTAGCACTCAGGGCTGAGAAAGTGTAGAGAAGGAAGATTTGACAGAACAGCCCAGAAATTGCAGAGATTTCAGCACCCAGGACAGTGAAGGAGCAGGAGAGGCCAGACAGGGAGCAGTTTTTTGTGCGTGGGATGATGCTTACTAATAGTGTGGACTGGGGATTTCAGAGACTATAAGCCCCAAAGGGAAGCTTCTGATGATCTGTTCTCAACTCCTGGCCTGCAGAGGCCAGAGACTGTCGTCATGTGGCTCCTGCATCCTGCTTTGAATACCAGGTTGGCATCTCTCACCTATCCTGACTGGCAACCCCTTCTCTAAATGTCAACAACCCCTTAAAATATGCCTCAAGACTAAACTGATGCAACTGGGTGTGCATTTGTGCAGCAGGAGGCTGGCAGAGAACCCTCCATCTTGGAGCAGACAGGTGTGCAGAGCTGAGGGGAGCAAGGTTTCTTTGCTTTGAAGCGCAATAACATTCTCCAAGCCCTGTGATCCCTCCACAAGCCTTTCATGACATCCCCCCTACTCCAGGAGGGATGTAATCCACTACCTGAAAACCTCTCAGCTGCAGTATGTTTCTTAGAGCAAAGAAGCAATCTTGACTGAGTGTCTTCACCACCCCTTGGAAAAACTGTTCCAACAGTTAATTGCCTCTTCCCCCCACCTCTTGGTAACTACTGGTACCTTACTTGATACTCTAAATTTGTCTAGCTTCTACTCCTAGACACTGGGTCCCCCAGAGTATTTGTCTGCCAGACTGGAGCTCTCTGCTATCAGAAACCTTCTCTCTCCTCCTTTAAAAGATTCCTAATGAAGCCAGGGACCCCTAGGTACTCCCCAAATCCTCCAGGGACCCTAGACTCATTCGGCTCCTTTGAAAATCCCAGTCCTGTGTTGTTAGGGAGGTTCTAAGGCTCTTTCCACCATGCTGCCCAGCTCCACAGACTGTGTACCTGATGGATGCCACTCCTCCCACTCACAGCCTCAGGCAGCAACAGGGGAAGTCACAACAGTAGAAGGATTGTGAAGATTAAGCATTGATCAGTGAAATGGAGCAGCCAGTGACAAGGTGGACTAGCCAGCTTCAGGTAAGTAACCAGCTCTCTGTGGCCACCATTTGGGGCCCTCTGGTCTAGACCAATGTCCTGTCCAGGGCTTGGGCATTGCAAGGCGGGGGGTGGCGTTGCACTGTACTAGAAGACCACACTCCTTCCACTTCACCTGGGCCATCGCTCTCAGGAAGCACAGATCCTTCACTTTGCTGCTGTGCTGGGGGACTGATTGCAGGGGGACCTATGGCCGTGGCCCTTGACTGCCCTCTTACAGCACAATGTTGGGTAATCCTCTCCCATCTCACTGTAAAGACAGGACAGGGGGTGCAGCTCACAGGTACCATCCTGCTGTGCTCCTGCCTCAGGGCTCAGAAGCATCACACAGAACAGGCAGTTCAGTGGCAAGCTAAGAAGTCTGACACACTGGCTAATGAGGGGTCCAGAGGCTACAGCTACCAAAGCCAAGCCCCAGGGAAAGCCTAGACGATCTGCATCCCTGCCTGCCTCCTGAGTCAGGGCCTGTGGCTCTGATCCCACAAGACACCAAATCAATGACACATGACTTAGAGCTCAGCACATTCTTGAGCACCTTGTAAAATTAGGGCCGGTGCTGACAGAAGGTGCAACAGTTCAGGGGTATGACTGATGTAGGGCAACGCCACCCCCTGGCGCAGGCTGCGGCAAGCAGGGATAGGGGCAAGCACCCAGCAGCAACTTACGTGACAGAGCACTGCGCAAAGGCGAGATACTCCAGTAGCACATCCAGCCCCTTGTTCTCCTCATTCAGGAACTCCTGGACCCACCTGGAAGAGAGGACAGGCATCAGCCAACAGAACCCATGAGGGGTCTATCAGCCCTTGCAATACTCCCTTGACTTCCTCTTTTCCCTCCTCTCCCTTTGCATCTAGACTGGCTTCAGCCTCCCTGTGAGCTGGATTGTACCAGCACTAGCTCTGTCAGGCCCACCAGGAGGGTGGGTGACCACTCTGCTTAGACTGAAGACAGCTGCAGTGAGAAGCACAGGAGGTGCCCCCATGTCCTTCTCAGGATGAGACATGGCAGGGTGGGAGACCCTCTAGCAGTGCCACCCTTGCTCACTGGCCAAAACCACCTGGAGTGAGGCCTGAAGCTCTCTGCTCCCTCCCTACAGCTAAGGGAAACATGGAGGACACATCAGTCCCAGCTACACACTCTAATTTGGCCACCCATCTTGCTCAGGGCAGACAGCAAGATTACAATGCGGCCTGATGAAGATGCAAGTGGTACCCACCTAACACAGCACTGACCTGGCCTGATTCTGACAGGTTTCACAGCCAGGCCCTTCTGCGTCCTTGGGAGTAGTTACAAATTCCACATCTCTTGTTGCCTCCTGCCCCTGTTACTCCAAGGATTCCCCACTTTGATTTTCCTGGGGAAGCCTCTTCCTGGTCCCAGGGGAGCTCTCCACTTGCCTTCCCACACACATCCACAGATTACAGATCCAGCAGGATTGTTACCACTCCCCTTTCACAGCCAGGGCACAGAGCTCCAGAGAGAATGTGGGACATGCCCAAGGTCTGGCAGGGAGTCTGTGGCAGAGATGGGAACTGAAGTCAGGTGTCCCAAGTCTCTGTCCAGTACCTTAACCCCAAGAGCAGCCTCCTATCTCATGATGGCATCAAGCAGGAGATACCACCCCATCCTCATCCAAGGCTTCTGCCCACATCATGGGAAGACGATGGGGGCTTCTATTCAAATGCTCCTTGGAACAGATGGTTATTTGCAAAAAACTACAGATTTCTGAATCCTTGACCTTAGCAGACTGCACATCTAGTGACCTGAAGCCTCAGAACAAGACTAACCACTACATGATAAGAGCCTCCCACTCCCTCCTCAGTGCTGGCATGCAGCTAGTTTTGGGGCCCTTCCACATGTGCTCATCTCCCAAATGCCACTGGACAGTCGTAGTGCCAGGCAGGGGGCTTGGCCACCTTCCACCCTTACCCATGCCCAGATGAAACTATGGGTGCTCTGCTGCTTGTAGACCAGTGCTTGGGTCCAGCACACTGTGAGAGTGCCAGTCGCCCTGGGTGCACTGCAAGGCAGTAGGCTGGTCTCACAGAACAGTGAGATTCAACAGATGACAGACTCCAAGTCACCCAGGGACTTTGGGCAAAGTGATGAGCAAGTGCTAAGCCAGGCTTGTCCAACATACGGCCCACGGGCCGCCAGGCAGCCCACCAAGGCACTTTCTGAGGCCCGCTGTGCTGCAATGGGAAACAAAAGTAAATACTGTTTACTTTCGTTCCCACCCCTTGTCCCTCCCCCAGCCCCTCAGCAGCTTCCTAATGGCTGCTGAAGGGCTGGGGAAGGGACAAGGTTCCCACACGCACCGCGTCAGCTTGACGTCACCGACGTGGTGCATATGGGAAGAGGAGTAGCCATGTGCCTCTCAGGACAGGATAAGCCCAGCCGGAGCAGCAAGGGGCTCAGCTGCACTTTCCCCCTACCTGCGCCAGTCAGTCCCGAGTGGCACACAGCTCTGTCACTGTTTCTGCTGGCTGGTGCCAACCTGGCCGGCCTCCTCCTGTCCCCAGCAGCACGTGGGAAGCCAGCATGGGGGGCCTTGACAGGCGGGGTCCTGGCACGACCTCTGCAGGGCGAGGTGGCAGGAGCCGGTGTCTGCCAGACCCCGTGCTCCAGGCTCGCAGCACTGAGGCCACCAGGGCTGCGTGCGCAAGCAGCTGGGCACCACAGTGAGCGGGGCCGTGCAGGCGGGAGGGTGAGGGGCTGTGGTGCAGCGGCCACCTCGCTCCAGCCCCCCTCAGGCAGCGCTGGCTCATGGGGCTGTGCTGCTCAGGGGATGGAGATGTGGAGCTATTTATTTCTCCCCTTCAGTCTCTGGGGCAGTAGCTGGCTGAACACAGAATGGGTCCCTCCTGCCCCTGCCCACCAGCAGCTACCATGAACCTTGCAGTAACAGGCAGGGGGCGTAGGGGTCACCCTGTGAGGTCTTTGAATATGGCTCGCCCACCCACTGGGTAATAAAAAGTTCATGATCCAGCCCCACATGCAAAAAGGTTGGACACCCCTGTGCTAAACAGTCACATGCTCCCAGACAGGGTCCTTGATGCCCCATTCTTAGCAACTCTCCATGAGGCTTCTGTGCAAAGGATCCAGTTATTTATGGAGAAAGGTCTGAATGTCAAACCTACAGGGCACCTCTCTTCCCCTCACGTGCTCAGTGGCCTTGGACCAAGAGAAAAGCTGCCATTTTAGAGAAGCCAGACTCCTTTTGGATGGATGAGGACCAGAAAACCAATTTCTCCAGAAGCAGAGGAGATAAATGTTTCTACTGCAAGGAGGGAATTAATCCTTGTGAATCGTTGACATTAAACATGTACATCTCTACCAAACAGCTGACATTCTCTCTTGTTGTCTCTCATCTACGAAACTGTCTCTTCCCCTCCCCTCTGCTGGATAACATTCTCACAAGTGGGCTAAGATCACCACATCAGGGACCCATAGGCTCAGAATGGAAAGATCTGTGTGATCCTTTGCCTAGATTGGTACTCTGAAATGCTCAGACTCTGCCTTGGGCTCTCATAGACTGCTCCCTTGGTGCTCTGAAGAGGCATTTCAGCTCCACCTGAGCACAGGGTCTAGCTGGTTGTTTCCATATGTTGGCAGTGGGCATTTGGACTTCCTGGGAGTTTGGACCTCCCCCAATCCAGAGTAATGTCTATTTGGAAATCTTCCTGGATCTGGATCAGCCAGGCAGACAGCCTGGGGTCCTCAAGGAAGTCACTGTGAGATGTCAGCAATTATGATGGTAGCAATGTTGCAAACTCAGAGGTGGGAAAGCTTCCCCTTGCTGCTCTGTCCCTTTCCCAAAGAGGCTCAGATACAGCATCTGAAACCTAAGAAGAGCAGCTACAGAGAAGCATGGCAGGCACATGCTATCAACAGGCCTTCACCCAGGGACTTCTGCTTCACAGACCAGCAGCTCTACTCCTTGGGCAAAAGGAGGTGTCCTTGGAGCTTTGGCTATAACTTATACTTACAATCATTTTTCTGGGAGCTATTGGCAGGCAACATCTAATGCACCTGGGTAATGTGCATGCAGTTGGCATATTTGTCACTTCAACCTGGGCCTTCAGTCCCCAAAACCCATGCCCCATCACCTGAGCTGTGAGTCAAGCAGAGGCTGCACAGTTGCTAGGACTGGCCAGTAGAGGGGGAATAATACTGCACGCTATGCCCAGGCATTACCAGGGAGTTCTTTGTGGATCCTTACCCAATGTAGTTGGTCCGCAGGGAGATTTCCAGCTCCCGAAGCACCTGTGTGGACTCCTGCACGCGCCTCTTAAACTGGGTTTTGAAAGGGAGACAGACAATTTACAGGGTTAATAGCCATGGCTCCCAAATCATTTATTTTTGCTCATATACACTAACTCAAGATGTTTTTTACATAAAGGGTGATCGAAGTGTTTACAGCAGAGAAAGGGAAAGAGAGAAGAGGGGAGAGGATTATCACCAAGGCAGTTGACCAGTCGGGGGTCACCTTTCTGCTGACTCCGCCTGTCTCCAGGTAGCTCTTCAGTTTCTGGATGTATGCAGAGGGTGGGTTCTTAACTTGGACCCGTTCCTGTGAGGAGGAGCGAGAAAATAGAAATACTCAGGTCCAGCCTCAGCCTGGGGAGGAGGAAACGATGCCTCTAGTGCTGTTGAGAGTATACATGCATTCACGTCTGTGGATAAACATGTATAAGTGTATGAGAAACGCATGTGTTCCTACAAGTGTGATGGACCTGTGGAGCCTGGCACATGTGGCAGGTCAGTGAGAAACCATATGGACCTGTGGAGCCTGGCACATGTGGCAGGGCAGTGAGAAAACAGTGCAGAGGATCAGGGAAGAAGATTCAACTCCACATGACTTGACCACCAGTGGGGTTAACTACATGTGGAGCTTGGCTCTTCACCAGAACTCTTCCCAAATCCAACAGGTTTGCTACCCTGCTAAGGGACGTAGGTCTCAAATGGGAACATAGAAACCAGTTCAGATACAACAGGAAATCTCCTGACCCTGCAAAACTCAGAATCATAGAGCTGCAGGGTTGGGAGGGACTGCAAGAGTCAGCCAGTCCAGGCCCTGCACAGTGTCCATTGTAGGTCCTAAACCATCCCAGCCAGATACCCATACAGCCTCTTCTTGAATTGCAACTTTTTTCTTTCTCACTGCAAGAGAACATGTCATCACCACACAAAAGCGTACGTCATGACATATTGCCATGGTGTCACACATGGTTCTGGGGGAATCTCACCCACAAGTAGTGATACAGATGCATCTCCTCCCCCAGGTTGGAAAACCACAACAATGAAAGTAAAATGTGTACAGAAACTGCCGAAGAAGCCCCTGAAGTGCCCCTCCACAACAACAGACCACAGTCCTCACCACCACCAGCAAACAGGCTATGGGCCTTGACAGAGAGCACTTACATTGGTATACGCATCTCGTACACCAGTGTAAAAAAAGCCGATACACAGCCTACAACCTTACACTGGGGTATCTCTGCCCAATTCAATGTAGAGCTGCCCCTGAAAGAATCAGGGATAACAGGATACTGGTGTATGCTGGTTTGAATTACAACCCCATAGATGTTGTTTGTCCACAGCTTATCCCGGCACCACTGTTTGCTAAAGGCAACCTACCAGTGAGGTGCTGCAGTAGCCACCTATTTCAGCAGCATGTCTTTCTACTTAGATCCCAGTGCTATTTACACCAATGTAAACCTGTTCTCTGTCCACACCTTACGACACAGTCTCTAACAGACAGACTGTACCTCGATGCTACTAAGCAGCTGTCAGCTCCTGACATCCATTTGAGACTTAAAGGGCAACTAGAGATAAATAAATATTATCCTTACAATCCAGAGAGTAATGAAGTGATTTGAACAAAACTAAGGCAGAGGTCGGAGCAGAACCCTGATTTCCTGATGCCCAGTCCTGTGCTGTAACTGAAGACTTCACTTCCTTCCTCCCCCCATGACAGACACTAGACCTGCCTCCTTCCCTCCCTCACATGACAGAGTATTGAGCAAGAAGCATCGCTGCCCAGTATCAGCTGGTAAGCAGCACATCTATCAGTCACCCCTCATGCCACAGTAAATGTTGTGCACAGGCACCATGTATGACATGTCCCAGGCTGGCCAGAGTGGACACCATGCTCAGTGTGCATCCCAGGCCTGTGTGTAGGGCCAGTGTGGTGCATGCCGCATACAGCATGCGGGCCAACTCTGGACCCAGAAGCAGCACTCCCAGATGATGAAGATGGGACTCCATATGACAGATCCAGCCGATGGGTCATATCTTTGGGCGCAGATGGAAGGGACCATTTTCGTTCAATCTGGCCACAAAAAGCAGCTTATAGCTGTGACCAAGTGCATGGCTGCAGGCAGCTTAAAAAATGGCCGTTTGGGTGAAAATCTGAACTTTCATTGCATGAGGGGTCAGATTAAGACTTTCAAAACAGACACTCTTCTGTAACTTCTGTCTGCACTGCCTGCCAGCCTTGAGCTGTTTTCAGAATGAGAGGGGGTGAAAGGGAGCAGACGGAGTTTGGCCTGGCGGGTTTTCAGCCTCCGCCAGAGGGTGGGGCAGGTGTATTGGAGCCCCCTGAGGTGGGGGGGCTCCAATACACCCATTCCACTTTCCAGAGCTAGCTGGGCTTTCCCCCTCCCATTCTGAAACAGGGACAGGCTGGGAGAGAGGGGCTGTTGCTAGGGAAAACCAGCTGCAGACTCCCAGCCAGCAGCTAGATTCCCCTCCCCACTGGAACCAGCAGTGACTTTGTTTGTTCCAGGGGATCACTGTAAGTCAGACCACTTCCTCCAAAGCATTCTCAGTTATTGCAGGGGGCTGCACTTCTGCCTGCACCCTTTGACTTCTCTGATCTAATCTATTCACTTTTACTTCTCTTTGTAAATTCACTTTTACTTCTTTCCTCATCGCTTCTCCTTCCACATAAAAAATAGTTTATTCCTGCTAGTCCATTCCTAGCACCTGATGAAGTAGGTTGTTGCCTGTGAAAGCATATGCCTCTCTGAAATAGTTAGCCTCCAAGATGCTACCCTACTGCACGGTTTGCTGTACATGGAATAGAAAGACAGGGCCTACTGCATGAAGCTTCCTAGGGACGGACTGATACAGAGAGACAAGGAAAACACAAAGAAACAGTAGCCACCAGGATGGGCAGGGGCATCACCACACCTGTGGCTTATCTGAGCATCTATAATAGGCTGAAGGCTAGCCCATCAGAGGTGGAAGCTGATCTCTCCATAATGAATAAATCTGAAGAGGAGGATGTTGCAGTACCTGAGGCATGAGGGTGAGAACTAGGGTGAGAGTTTTAGTTGGTGGAAGGAGAGGAAATGCCAAATCTTAGAAATCTGTGCAGGCAGACTGCAAAATTAGATATAGCCAGGATGTCAGCACTGAAAGACAAAGAGGAAGTCAAAGAGGATGCTCAGACTATGGCTCTGAGAGATGGGATAGTGAGGGTGTTTGCAGTCACTGAGGAAGGAGGTAGGGAGGAGAGAAGATTAAGAGCTCAGCTGTAGTCACGTTGAGCTTGAACTGATGGCTATTCACCCACAAGGATAGCTGAGAGACAGGCAGAGAGTTTGGTTTAGACAGAAGACAGGTCTGGAATAGAGAGGATGATCTGTGAGTCATTAGCACAGAGCAAGTAGTTGAATTTGTGCTTGAGGATGAGATTGCCCGGAAGTCAGGTAGAGGGAGAGGAAAGGGGGACCAAGAAGAGAGGCCTTTGGGACCCCCCAAAAATCTGGAGGGAGATGAGGAAGAAACTCCAAATGGCATGTTGAAAGAGGCATTAGAGAGGCAGGAGGGAAACCAGAATAGGGAAGAGCCATGAAAGCTATGGAAAGACAAGATTTCAAGAGGAGGAGCCTGGCAGATGGTGCTGAAGGCAGCTGAAGGCACAGGGATTATGGGGGTGGGGGTTCTGGTTCTGAGCTCTGGCTAAAGACAAAGTCTATCCCAAGGGTGGTTTCAGTGGAGAGCAAGGGGTGGAAGCCAAAGGGAAGGGCATTTAGTTGAAGGAGAGACACTCAAGATCACAGTGCCCTCCAGGGCCCTGCGGGTTGGCTACCAGGCAGGCCAGTGTCTGATTCTGAGGGAAACCAGCAAGGAGGGACAGGGCATATGCCATCCCACTGACCTTGGGCAAGTTGCTTACAGAGGGAGGCCTGTATCACCAACTTCTCAAAAAGTCTTAACTAGGGATAATGCATGGGACGTTTAAGGGACGCCTGTGGTACCAGGGAAACTGGAAGCCTGACTTCTCTCACAGTGTTCTTCTGGTTGACTAATATTTTCATGATCTTGCTGGTGAAATCAGCTCATGACCCAAAGCTAGCCTAGGAGGTCCCATTAATACAGAGGAGCAGTAGGCTGCCCTAGAACAAGAACTGGATGGCCTAGAAAACTGGAGCAATGGGATAAAATTTGAGAGAGAAAATTACAAGGCTGTGCACTTGCAGCTCCTATGCATGTGCATAAAGCCTGCTGCATATCGGAGCAAACTCGATAAATCGATTAATGGAAATTGATGCACTCCAGCAGCCTTCTGCGTCACGTGTATCAGTGTCGCCATGCATCTCTGTACTGAAAAAGTGGCAGTGGAGCACTTTGAAATAAAACATGTTCAATGAGCTTTAGTTGAAAGTGCCCTGCCACCATTTTTTAGTGGGGGACGCATGGTGATGCTGATACACGTGATGCGTGGGTGCTTTTAATTAGAGTGGCTTGCTAATTAAGAGCACCCGGCACTGTGTCCCAGCACATGTCAAAATGCCTTTGGAGACTAACAGTGAAAACTTCTGCTATAAGCTAGGAGCTTGTCAGCTGGAAATGACAGAGCAGGAGATGGGCCTGCGTATACTAATTGATTACAAGATGTTTATGAGCTTCCAACACAATGCCATCATGAAAAAGGTAAATATGATCTTAGTATATATCCACTGAAGTGTTTCCAGTAGAGCTGGGAAGTATTACTGCCACTGTACAGGGCACTAGTGAGACCTCACTTGTAATTCTGTATATAATTCTGCTCATCCACCTTCAAGAAAGATGAACTCAAACAGAAGGAGGTACAGAGAAGGGTATGTGGGTGGTCAGAGGAATGGAGAGCTCATCCCAGGAGAGGAGGTTGGAAGTGCTCAGTTCATTCAGCTTAGCAAAACAACATCTACGTGGAGACACAATTGCTCTCTATCTGTACATTGGGAGGGATAGAGTGTGGGGAAGACAAATAAAGGGAGGGAGAAGAGCTATTTAAGCTAAAGGATGATGCTGGCACAAGAACAAATGGGTATAAGCTGGCCATGAATACATTTAGGCAGGAAATTACAAAGTTCCTAGCCATTAGAGCAATCAGGTTCTGGAACAGCCTTTCAATCAGAGCAGTGGGAGCAAAGACACCAAACTGCTCTTCAGATAGAGCTGGATATACTTATGAAAGGGATCATAGGACACAAAGCCTGGAATAGCAGCAGATTGGGACTCAGTGGCCCAAAAGGTCCCTTCCAGGCCAGTGTTCAGAAAGTGCTGGGCTGTCAATTTGTCAGGTACTACAGCAGCCTTCTGTGGCCCTAGAAGTCAGCACCAGGGCTGGCCCAGCCCAGCTGCCAAGCACCTAAGCAGCGTTTTAAATACTGGACACATGACAGCCCCCTGGAGATTCAGTGAACAGAAAGGGAGGAGCCTGGTCCCTGCCTGACCCAGAATCAGAGTCCTTATTCCTTGGCTGTAGAACAAGCCCAGAGCAAGTCTACTCTGTGTGGTAACCCTGGATGACACAAGAGGGCTCTGCCCCATCCTAATCTCCTCACCTGAGTGTAAATGCACCAGCCAACCTGGGAAACACCAGCAAGGCAACAGGCACCATAAGCAGGCCATAGCTACTCTGTATTTAGCCTCTACAAGGTCCATGAGAGGGGAAGGTGGTACTCGCCCACTTTGGGCACCTTCTGAGAAACACTGTGGGAGAAAGGTGCTGAGTGAACTCGCTGCTCATTGGCAAAAGGGCCACCGCTCCCACTTATCCAAAGTAAGGGTGGCAAGGCACTGAGCCTGACTTGCAGGGTCCCCCTGAGGTAATAAGCAAGTGCTGAGGCCTAGTTATTAAGATACGCAGAATCCTTCCCTTTCCCCATGGAAGGGTTTTCTGAAGCATTTGATCTTTTACCAGTTTCTAATAATATTTGACACTTACATGGAGCTTGCAGCTGCAAAGCATTTGCCAGGCATTTGGGGTCCAATCTGGTCCACGTGCAAGCACCCCTGCCCCTCTGCAGGCAGGATGCAATTACTGCACACCCCTTTGCTTCCTGGTTCATGAATCCAGTAGGGCTGTGTGAAGCTTCAGGTGCTGATTCGATTCAGAGGAGATTCAGCCTGATTCAGTAGCTGAATCGCCAAATCTGAATTGAATTAGGGGTCCAGTTAAAAGGTTCAAATTGATTTGAAGCTCTCCGAATTGATTCAGAAAAGATTCAGAGAGCTTCAGTGATTCAGGCAGTCCTCACTGGCTGCAGCAGGGAGCTGAACCCAGACTTCGAGCTGGTAAGTAGGAGGCGGGGGAGACGAGGCTGGAGGAGGGGGGAGAGGACCATGGGGAGACCCCTGTCAGGCCCCATCCTGTGCCTGCTCCCCCAGCCCCCTCCAAGCACCCCCTGTCCCAGCCTGCTGTCCCAGCCTCCCCATGGCTGCCCCACCTGGCCCAGCTCCTGGTTATTTTTAAAAAAGCCCCCACTCACCAGGTGCTTCCAGGCAGGGGGGTGATCCCTGCTGCCCCCCACTGCCCCATGCTGCATGGGGGGCTCAGTCATGAGCCCCCTGACCTCCACCTGCTCTCCCACCCTCCAAGCACCCCCTGTCCCAGCCTGCTGTCCCAGCCTCCCCATGGCTGCCCCACCTGGCCCAGCTCCTGGTTATTTTTAAAAAAGCCCCCACTCACCAGGTGCTTCCAGGCAGGGGGGTGATCCCTGCTGCCCCCCACTGCCCCATGCTGCATGGGGGGCTCAGTCATGAGCCCCCTGACCTCCACCTGCTCTCCCAACCCCCCCATGGCTGCCCTGCCTGCCCCAGCTCCCGGCCCTTTAAAAAAAAAACCAACCAAAAAACCCTGCACTCACTGGTTGCTGCAGCAGCCTCAGGGCTTCTGGGGGCTCATGGAAGAGGCCCCCCCCCACCAAGTGGGGGGCAGCGGGAATTGCCTCTCCCGCCCCCCCAACCAGGCAGCAACTGGTGAGTGGGGGCTTTTTTTTTTCCCCCCCTCAAAGAGCCAGAAGCTGGGGCGGGCAGGGCAGCCATTGAGAGCGGGTGGGAGATGAAGCCTGTGTGATTCAGAGATTTGGGCAAGTCGGCAGCAGCCGAATCTCCGAATGAGATTCGGCCAAATCGAATCGGGACAGTGATTTGAATCACCGAATCAAATCACTGTCCCCCAACTCAAATCCGAAGCAAATACTAGCCACTTTGCACAGGCCTAGAATCCAGCCCTGTTCCCAAAGCTCTGTCAGCAACCAGCACCCAGAGAGAATCAGCCTTGATTTGCAGGCACCCAAGAAAAGCCTGTGTCAGTCCCCCAGAAAAGGTCTCAGGCAAAAAAACACCGTCCTTGTTATGAAGTGAATCTTTTGGCTGGTGAGGAACTGACTGTCTCACTGCTGAGATGACAGAAGGGGAGAGAAATGACTCATCAAGAAAGCACTGGGATTAGCCTGCACGTCTGAGCAGATTCGTTACTGATAGCTTCTGTGGGGCACCTCTGACAACTCCAAAGGGCTGGGTAGGTAAGCAAGGCCTAGGGCCATCAAAAGAGGGAAAAGAAGCCACTACTTTAGCTCCCTCTTCCAACACCTAGAAACACCCAAAGGCTAGAGCTTGAGTGCGACTCCCCGCTGGCCTGCCACCGTCTGTAAGGAGTTATGCTAACAAGCAGCAGACTGAAAGCCAGTAACTGGGCACCTGAGCAATGCAGGAAGTAGCTGGGGGGAAGTGAATGGGTGTGCATTTCCTGCAGCAGGTGTTGTTGTGCTAGCAGTACCATACCTACACTCCTGGCAGCCCAGGGAAAACTTTTAGTATTGCCCCTCTCCTTTGCCAAAGATAATGATAATAATAATCAGACAAAGGGGGAGAAAATTACCATTTTCAAGCCTCCTTTCTGTCCAAGACACCCAGACAGCCTCCCAGTTCGCCCATGCCTGTGTCCATGTGCTAGCATAGGTAATGACTGGCATTAAACTTTTACAGCGGAGGCCCATGGGGGGGGGACGGACCTGAAGGGCCCAAGTCCTAATGAGACAATCCTGTGGGGGACAACACAGACTCACCTGGTCACAGACCAGATCCCACTTCTTCTCATTGTCGTACTGGCTGAGAAGTTTCATCTTGTCAGGAGGCAAGTTCATGGAATTCTGCAGGGGAAAAAGAGAGAGGGTCAGAGAAAGTCACAGCCCTGCAGAGCCACAAGAAGCACATGCAGAAACAGACACCTGCGTAGAGGAAGGCTAGGCCCCAATCTGTCTGCCCATTTAAGGACCAATGGGAACCAGGACAATGTCACATGCAATGCTTGCTCCCTTGTACCTGGGAGATGTCCTCTAGGGAAATCCTCATCATCCCCCAGAGCCCTGTGCCCACAGGGAAAGCTCAGATGCCCACCCATGAGCAGCATCAGCCCCTTGCTCCCCTGTGGCAATCTTCCAGCCAGAAAAGGAATCACTTATCTCCAGTGGTAGATGAGGAAGTCCCTGGGGTGGTGCCACAGTCTCCCCCATCCTTCCCCTACCCCCCACTCCCCAATCACTGATCAGAGCTGCCAGATCTTGAATGACAATTTGTGCAATATTCCTCATTGACCCTAAACATCCATTCATCTGGCTGCAGATGAGAGATTTCACCTGGTGGTGACCCAAAGCCATTCCCTCTAGGATTCCTCACCAGAGCAACCAAATGGAGACCCACCACCTACTCAGGTTTTCTACCAAGCTTGGTCCAGGCTGGGACAGGAAAAGGCTCTGAGAACTAGGTCAGGAGCTAGTGGTACCTATGCAGTTTAGGCAAGGACAGGAAAGCCCAATCAAGCCTCAGTGTCATTTCAGCCCCCTTTTCCCCTTGCCCCAACAAACCTTGGCCTGAGCATAACTTGACTTCCTTCTACAGCACTTTATCCAGGGATTTCAAGGGACTTTACATTCAATAATTAATGCCCTGAAGCTTGCCCCTGCCTGAGATCAGACAGCATAGTGATCTCCAGTCTTATGAGCGAAGAAATGGAGGCAACAATTATGGAAGTGATTTGCACAAGACTCCACAGTAAACAGATGAGGAGGATACCCTTTCCCTCCTAAAAATTAATAAGGGTCATGTTGCAGACCTCTCTCTTCAGGAGATCCTAGTGAGCGATTGCCCATTTATTGCAGTCATGTGACATGCTTCATGGGGTGAAATCACTGCATCTTTAGAGACATTATGTCAGAGGCAGGGTGTTGCAAACTGCTGAGTGTCTGTTGCTGATGTTGCTCAACCCCAACCCTTTCCAGCTTCCCCATTCTACAGCCATACTGGGGAGGCCCAGCGTAGAGGACTGTGCAGCTCAGTATGTGCCAGAATCAGGCCCTTTGGGTGATAGCCCTTTGGGCACAGGAAGAATGCATAAAATAATTTCCTCTTTCCAAACAGGAAGAGTGAGTACAAAGGCATGGAGGGAAATCATTTCTCTTTATGGGGGACTATTCTGGTGCAGACAAATTATATTACTCTCCTCTCCTGAAGGTCCCTTGTTAACAACCTCTGGAATTTGACCAAAGTCCTACCACATGCTAGTGGCTTCAGCAAACCCTGAGGTGTCAGCCAGGAGTCTATGATGGAGATGCAGTGCACAGGCCTGCCGGCCTTTGGGAGAGTGCTCAGAACAGCCTGAAAGATGCAGGCCTTCCAGCTAGCCACAGGGACTGCAGCTATGAAAGAGGTACTTGACAGAGATCAACAATGCAGGTTCTGACAGGTAGTGCTCAGGTGATGGAGCCCAATAGTTCTCCAGAATGCAGGGGACCTGCTACTTGTTTTTGTGAGCTTCAAGAAAACAATTCTTCCCATAAATGGCAAGAAGCCAGCTGCCTAGGTCTGAGGCACAGGGGAGCAGTTCCCCAAGACTTAATGCTCCATCAGTTGCTATGGCACATGGGGACCTGAAAGACAATACCAGGTACACTTGCACAGCATAACGAGCTGCCTCTTGCATGTGTGAACCAGTGCTCTCCACTGGACAGGCTTAGAACTCATCTAGGAAGGCTCACGGACCACACCCTGCTAGCAGAGATGTTGCCTTTCATGCAAAGACTTAGTGCTTTTGCTTCGCAATGGCCAGAACCTGCATACCGCTGAGCTAGCATCCAACAAGCACTGGCAATGAAAGAGGAAATGCAGGTCACCAGGGGGCTGGGTTAAAACCAAAACAGATCAGGGACAAACTCAAAAAGATACAGGTCACTCAGGAAGGAGACCTGCCAAGCCAGACGCACATGCAGGCGGGTGGAAGGCTCAGCACCAGCTACTGCCCTGAAATGTTCATTGTAATGCATTAGCACTAACTGAACCTGTAGAAGCCAGAGCTGGCAACTGTGGTGGAGACAAGATTCTGCTGAGGGCTATCATGCCACGAGAGGGCAGGGGAAGGAAGTTTTGCAGGGTCCTGCAGGGTAACAGCACAGGAGTAGCTGGCTTTAACCAGGTTCCACAGGAACTGGGGCACTTCTAGCCCACACTGCTATCACATCTGTGTTGGTTAAGTAGTGAATGTTTGGCCTGTTTGCTTTGGCAACCCTCAGTAGTGCTTGGCTATGTCCTTCCTCCCTCATTCAGAGCTGTGGGCAGGTGGGATGGTGCAGAGCAGAGACGAGCAGCGAGACTAAAATTGGGCTAAAAGCCTAGAAATAGCCTCGCGGAGCCTAAAGCACCAGTCAGCAGCTGTCACTGCTTTCCACTAAGGTGTTAGAAGTAAGATATGGTCTGACAGGGGGTTACCAGGCAGCACCCAGCTTTGGCAGTATCCTGAAGAACAGGTACCTTCTACATACCACCTACTGGCCAGAGGAAACATTGGTGGGTAGATGGGACCACCACTAGCTGAAGGACGAGTGAGCAGAATAGCAAAAGACACTCAGGGCTTACTACCACTTGGCACTTTGCACTTGGATGTGTTAATTAACAGCACTGAACTATCACCAGAGGGCTGTCCTGGGCACACCTTGGCCAGCTGGCAGTCACAGCCCCAACTACATGCAGTGTTTAGCAGCATGTCAATGATTTAATACACGTTAATAATACACAGGAGGAAGGGTGATTTTATGGTTAAAACACAAGGCTAGAAGCCAGGAATCCTGCCACTGAACAACCACTTCCCCTCTTTGGCTTCCCCTTCCCCATCTGCACAGCAGGGAGATATGCACGCATGAGACGGGCTGGAAGAGGGCCAAAGGCTCCCAGTGCCCCTTGTCAGGGCAATCTCAACAGCAAAGTTAAATATGGGTGCTAGCCTTAGTTCCTGACATGTTAATAGTCTTACTCAATGAGTGCTGCCAACATGCAGCTGGGGAGACCCCAACCATTTTGCTGGTTCTCAGCACAGGTTGCCAACCTGTGAGGAGGTCAGCAGATTTCAAGGCAATGCCAGGGCCTGATAGAGAGGGGATGTGAAGACCACTTACTGTTCCAAGAGATGCATCTTCCTCATTGGTGGTATCTTTAGGACAGGCTCCTGCCCTAGATCCAGTGCCCAGCTGCTCCTCTGCCCCTCCCTCTGCCAGGGCCAGAATCTATAGTGCTTCCATCCATTTGGTCCTCCTTTTCCTATGCCCTAGAAATCCAGGACCTGCCTTAATAATCCCAAACTCAAGAACTTAGGTGGATTTGTAACTCTGAGTCTTCTTTGCTCAGTTGGTACCCAGGGCCCAGGTGACAGGAGCCCCCTCTATCCCACCCCTGCCAGGATCCAAGCATGGTCTATGTTCCTTCAGGCTGCAAGCTGAGCAGCCAGCTCCTTGCTGGCTGCTGGCCCAGATTCAGCTGCCTGGGATATTGATGGAATTAAGCTGTCCTCAGCAAGTTAGATGCTGCACTGGCATCACTGCAAGGAGTCCTGTCCTGAAATTCACCAGCCCAACCTCTGACAAGCAGATCAGAGAAGCACTTACTGTCTAACTGGTATGCCCTTCTGGCCGCTTGTTTATGCCTCCCTAGTCTGGAGTTTTGTCTGGAGCCACCCACAGTAGGGAACCTCTGTCACATCCATGCTCTCTTGGATCAGCCAAGGGTCTCAGCCAGGGGTCCCTGCTTCATGCCCTGTCAACCCCAGCATGTCTCTTGTGACCCTTCCCCAGAAGCCAAGGGCAGCACCTGGCTGCAGCAAATGATTCTCTGAGTCTCCCTGTCCAGTAAAGGGACACAGATTGCCTCCCAGAAAAAGGAAGCCACTGAACACAGAGGCAAAGCTTTCTTGAGCAGAGGGCAATGAACAGGCAATCTGTCACCCCTGATGGCAGCCTCATCCCTTACATTACCAGCAAGCACAAGGAGCCCCTGATCTCAGTTCTGGTCTCTGGGCACCTGCAAGATAGCTAATTCCTGGTAAAGGCCCATGGCAGGATGCCACAGTGTTTGAATCACAGGGGAGTTCCAACCTTCAACCCAAGCTCCACTATTTGCATCAAAATACAGAAAAACCCAATGACAGATTTCCTCTCAGACTAGTCTTTATCAACATGCATGCGACAGCCTGGCCAACCTATGCACAGCTCCTTAATATGAGCAGTCCCCTACCACACCAGTCCCACAAAGGGGCTCTTCTGAGCTCTGTTTCCAGCTGCACCTCTCCCACACATATACACTTGACTCTGTGCACACAGCCAGGGCTGAATTAAGGCCCAGGCTGTAGGCAGGCCAGCGACAAGGGCCCCTGTTCCTGGGGTCATGACAGCAGACTAGAATCTCTGCTTTTGCTTCATACCTATGTTTCCAGCCCTCATGGATGCCAACAAAAGCCTAAAAATGTGCCTAAGTGTAACTACCTGAGTTTGCAGAGAGCCAGAAACCAACAGCTCCAAGAAGAATAAACATCCCATACATCTTAATTCCATATATCTGCAGCATGCTGTGTCCAACAGGGGTCCTATATGGGGAGGGTCAACATAGCTCCAGATCCAGCCCTCAGGAGCAAATCCAGACAGGAATGATGGAACTAGGCCCCTCTCTCCAAGACTGAGGACCATTCAGCACAGTCACCCAAGGTCATGCTGGGCTTGGCCGTGCTGCAGGCAGCTGCCTCCTCAGAGAAGCCTAGCTTATTTTCGGCAGTGACAGAGGGTGCCTCATGCTCCATTTGCCAGCCTTACATGCTAACTCAGTAGAGGGGCAC